TCCAGAAGTATGTGTTAATTCTGAAGCCTGGACGGTAGAAAGTGTGTTGTCCCATTCGCGTCATGGCTGAAACATCCATACAAGTCATGACAATCTTCAAAACCTTTTTACATTTGTGTTGAGGTTAATTAATCTAAGTCAGAGCTCACAGACACAAACACGCTCCTGGAGGTCGTCATGTGGAGTACACCAACCTTCAACTGGATGGTCTTCAAACCCTCATGTCAGCAGGCATCCACCCTGCTGACTATGAGCAAGACACTGAATCACTGAATCCTTATCAGCTGCAGGGCTCCTATCTGAGCTGAGTCTGACCTCCACACAGATTGGAGCTGACCTACAGGCACTGTAACAATTCCATAACAACGTGCATTACCATTATTTGTAGTAATAGCAGCAGTAGTAGTACTTTTTCGTCTTCTAAATCCTTCTATCTGACTTTTTATGTATTACAACACACTATATTCATACAATTGTTCTCCAACTGGGAGAAAATATGCTAATTCTTTATCTTGCAAAAGTGAGACAAGAAGATTGATACCACTCTCATGTCTGTCCGTTAAGTAAGTAGCTGGAGCCAGGAGACGTTTAGTATAGCTTAGCATAAAGAATGGAAACAGGTTGTGGTTTTTTCAGACTATGCTGAACTATTTAATGGATGGGTGCCATGATTTCTTAAAATCTCTGCTGGTTTCCTGGATTCAAGGTGCTGCTAGGCAGAAACTGTTTCCCCTCTTCTTTATATTAGCTTCGTATTTATTAAACAGATCTGACAGTAGTATTAATCATCTCATCTAACTCTTGGCTAGAGAGCAAAGAAACCTATTTCCAAAAATGTTGACTATTATTTTAACTGACACTACATGCTTGTATGACTTCTGTGTTCATAATTTTAAGTTTATTAAGTTTGATCGACTAGTCACCATGTGGACGCTCGCACTGAATGTTTGGTCTGATTGGTTTTGTACATTAGCAACAATCGTTTTCTTTATACAAGGTTACTGTGCCCTCAAAAACCTTGACAAAAAGCAGAAAGGCAGCATTGCTTTGTACAATTGTACTTTAAACAGAATATGTCCTGCACCTAATTACAAACTGTTATAGTAAACAACTTTTTAAATTAATCTGACTTGACTGGCATGGCCTTGCCATTTCCAGTAAGTCTCGATAAAATGTGCTAGTATTTCAGATGTTCAATATGCAACTAATCACCAGGCAAAATGTATTTCTTCCTCTTGCCAAAATGCCATTGAGCAGGTTCTTTCATATGACACAAAAATAAAGACTCTTTGATCATTTCAGCACGCATGTAATTAAATTATCCCAGAGTTTTGCAGAAGTGTGAGGATTCCTACATTGTATGACATCACTTTGATCAAAATTGCTCTTTGAAATGTTGCAATACACAAGTCTTAATAGTTTCACACATGTCAAGCGGCATACAACTGATCAGAGGTTTCTATGTAAAACAGAAGCCGTATAATCAGAGCCTCAGAGAACCACAGAGCTCCAAAGAAACTAAAAAAGTGGCAAAAAAGCAGCTGGGTTTCTATTGTCACTGACATATTTTATGTTTTGCAATTAATTCCAATGGATTTTACCTTATTGGTGTAGCCATTTTTCAATCTGGACATGAAACAGAGTCATATGAGTAAATGTCAGCTGTCATTTCCAAAGAAAAAAGCCAACAATGCCAACAAACACCAGTAAGCAACATTTTGCATTGAAGGCAATGCTTCCTTTCTGCTATTTAGGAAGCAGTTTGTATTTGGTTCTCAAGTTTTCATTTGCTGGTTTTTCAGAGGTTTCCAGTAACAGACCAAAAACTAGACTACGGTAAGAATAATTGGTGCAAACAGGCTGAATCTACGATATTTCAAATCTAGACTAATGCAGCTTATAGCTCTTCAATAGCATCCTCCTATCTCTCTCCCCCTCTTTCTTTCTCGTTCATCCTCCTGCCCTCTCAGCCAGTCTTCCCCTCTCGTATATTTCCTCTCTGCGCCTCGTCATCCCTTCCACAATTTATGGATCTCTCTCTCCTCTCCCTTCTCTCCTGGCCTCATGTCTCTAAATCTATCCTCCCTTCTTCATTCACTATATCACCACTCCTCTCCTTAAGCCACTCTACCTTTAATCCTTTTCCTTTCTCATCATCCTCCTTTTTTTCCCCACTTTTCCTTCCTTGTTCCTTGCTTCCTACATCCCTGGTATCCTCTTTATTCATTTTTTTGTCTCTTAGTTCATCCCTCGTCTTCACCTTAATGGGTTCACTTTAGTTTAAATCTCAGACATGTTATTATTTTAAAGATCAACAGTTCCACTGAGCAGATTTTTTTTGTGGTGTTTGTACAGATATGTAGATGATCACATGGACAGGGGGATTAAAAACATTTAAAGAAACAACTACAACTTTGGCCCTTCGATGGACTGGCGACCTGTCCAGGGTGTACCCTGCCTTTCGCCCGATGTCAGCTGGGATTGGCTCCAGCCTCCCGCAACCCTGTATGCAGGATAAGCGGTTGACGATGGATGGATGGATAGACGGACTACAACTTTTTAAATTTGGTTCACTTCATTCCAGTGGCTTGGCAGGGATTCAGTCTTTCACAGGAGCACCAGGTGACGAAATGAATTACTTTTACCATGGAGCAATTATAATAGAGAGAACAGCAGTGACTCCTTCTGCACTACGCTCCTCTTCTCTCATCTTCCTCCTTTTTTTATCTCCTGACCTGTCATCTGTCATCATCTCCCACTCTCATTCTACCTGCCTGCTGTGAGTACATTTCTCCTCTTGTTTCTCATCCCGTCTTTCATCTCTACTTTTTTCTTTTCTCTGTATTCTTGTTCTGTCATCGTCCTCTCTGATGGTGGAACATTTAGTCGTAGCCTGCTGCACTTTAAAACTAAGTGAACTACATGTGACTCTTGTTTTTGCTGACCTCCAGTGGTTTAACTTCTCACCTTGCTGCAGTGATGTACAGGTGGACTTGGGGACCCACTGACACCACAGTTGGGTGGAGTTACAGGTGCAACAGACCACAGCCACCCAACTTTACGTATAGTCCTAGCTCCACCTCAATCAGTTACAATAGTAAACTGCATTTGATTGATGCATCTGTATAAACAATCTAATAATGCATGTGTGCAGCCGTGTAAATCACTTGTCCTGTCGTCTCCTTTGACACAAAAATCTGAAAACAAAACTATATTTTTTGGTTTCAAATTCATTCGAACACTATTTTCTGATAATACTCCTGCACTTTTACTAAAGAAGGTTGTGAATGCAGGACTTTTACTTGTAATCAAGTACTGTTACGTCTTTCCTGTCGTCCCTGCATGCCTGCTGTACACACCCCCTGCACCCCATGGTGGTAATAGATGGCCAGTGTTGGTCAGCGTGACGAAGGCATTCTGCTGCCAGTCCATCTACCTGCTGGTCAGATCTATACGACAGCGGTTTCACACTATAAATCAACACACACACACACACACACACACCTGCAGGCGCTTGATCCCCCTTCATTCTGACGATTGATGCACACCTCGCTGCTAAACGGCCGAGATAATTAAACCCCACGCATCCCTCCCCTGTGTGTGTAGGTGTGTGCGTGTGCTACAATGGAACAGCAGGGCATTCAAACACACACACGATTAGACAACACACATCCAACTCTGTCTTCCTCTCTCTGCTCTTCTCTCACACACATACAATTACACTACAAGCACTCACTTTTTGTTGCATTCCTACACCCACACACACACACACACACACACACTCTCTCTCTTTCTCTGCACACGCTCACAGAGAGAAAAAAAAGATGGAGATGGAGAGAGAGGGCAGGAGGGAGGGAGAGAATGCACCTGCTGGGCTGTAAAGCACTCAGACAAACAGTGTCTGTGTTTGGGAAGACTTGAACAAATGGGGAAATTATACAGTGGAACCAAAACGGCACACTTTCACCCAAAGGTGCTTCACCCCACAAGGCTGAAGAGAATTCTTGGAGCATATATCCCCTGCTAATTTTTGTGTTCAAGTAGAGTGTGTGTCGTAAATTCGTACATAGATCAGTTTATGTAAAGGCATGGATGGATTACTGAACGGACCCTAACAGGCACAGGTTCAGGGGCCCAAGGTGTCTATGGCCCCCATCTGGTTAGAGGGACTGTTAACATTTTATTTTATTTTTGGAAAGTTTATCAGAAAAACACAAAGATGTGAAATGACCACTTGAAAACAACCATAAAGAGAGGCAACAACTACAAAAAGGCAAAAAGACTGGACACTGCAACAAAAAGATGCCAGACATTTAAAAAGAGACGTAAACCACCCAGACCCAGCAAAACGTAGCTGTGTTGTGGGGCTTTTACATGTCTGCACTCAGGGGCCAATTGTTCATAAGGAATGAATGTGTAACGGTGGAAAAGGAACAGGAGGGATTATCACAAGACAAATAACTTATTTTCTGCATCTTTAGCTGACTTTGGGTGTGTTTATTCTGCACTACATCTCTTGCTGAACGCTCCTGTTCTTCTCTTGAGAGACTGTCTTTTAGCCGTAACGCCGGGCTTTTAGCGCACTCATGTTACTTCGTACACACGCATGCAGTTTGATGAATGAATCATGAGCAGCCGGATGGCCTTATGGTGAGTTCAAGGACCAAAGCAGTCGAATCAAAGTGTTGAAAGAGCTGACTTCTGTCAGTCTAAGTTCAAAATCTCGCTTTTTGCGGCTTCTCGCTAATGCATGGACACACACACACACACACGTGCTCGCTTCCTCTCACTCGTGCGTAAAAACGCTCTCACCGCCACCCGGTCTCTCACCTCTCACATACACCCACGAACCAGGCGCGCGCGCGCACACAGTCGAGCGAATAACTCTCTGTCGCTTCCTTTCTTCTTCTCTAACACACAGGCAAACACACGCTGCACAAGCAGCCCATTAGGTAAACTCGTCACACACGCGTAAAATCAGAGAGCGGTGATCTTCTCACCTGGTGTACTGGAGTAGGCTAGCTAATCCTGAATCCAAGCGACGCTGATGACAGAATCTTGAAAATGTCAAAAATGTGCTGAAATAATCCCTCTTCTGGCTCCTCTCCTTGTGTGTCTCCGCTGTCAGGTGCTGCCAAATTTCTCAGCTCTCCAAACTGGCAGGACAAAAGGTAGATAAATGAAAGGCTAGATGAGGTCGTTTCTTCCCCTCTTCTCTGCCAAAAAAAGGGACATTTACAGCCTTTAACATGAAAGTCTTGCCTGCTGCATAAGGATGAAATCCTTTTCCTCTCCCTCCTTCACAAAGATGTTGGAAAGCTAAGTCTGCTCCAACCGCAGCTACGCGTCCTGTCCCTTTCTCTCCGCTCTCTTTTCTGTCTCCTCAGCCCTCTGTCTATCCCACTCCTTTGCTTCAGGACGGGATGTAAGACAGAGGCAAGTAGGTAGACCTCCGTGTTCAGTCTGTCTCTGCCCGGGCAGTGGTGTGGAAGAGTCGCTCTACTTTGCGCAGCCAAAAATAACTTCCAATCTCCAAACTGGAATCCCGCGAAGCACTTGCACTATAACAATCCCTATTAAATTCTTATACTAATTTCACAGTTGTGGCATATTATCAGTTTATAGTCATTATTATAGTACTTTATGGTACTTTCTGCCCATGTGCTACCTTGTAATATTCCTGCTGGAGCTTTAATGTAGCGGCGGTACTCAGTGTGAGTACTTCATATTGTGTCTTTTATGATAGAGTGCGTCCATGTAATATTCCTAAAGGGCATACAATATTGAGGTAATCAATCATTAGAGTGCCACTGTGCAGGCTGGTGTCGTCGATATATTTGTCAATCAAGTAATCAATCCGGAGGTGCTGTTGCAGATGCGTCGTGTTATGCCAAAAGCTGCAGTGCAGGATTCACTTCCCGTCTTAAAATCCCCCACAAGTCCAAGTTTGCCGGGTGATAACGGCCGACAGTCAACCAGTCAATCTGCGGATCAATAAAAGCAATCAGTCCACATCCAGTAGTCTACAATAGAAAATGTGAGATTTCAAGGCAACGAGTCTCCTCTTTCTGTCCTAATCCATCCGGAAAAATATTTCTGGAAATAAAAGACCACGCATGTTCTCCATTTCTCTCCTCCGTTTCCTCCTCTTTTCTCTGTCCTTCTTTACTTTCCTCTCTCTCACTCTCCAGAAACACGTCCCTCACAGGTCAGAGTACTTTACCCTCATTCTCTTCTTGGATGTGGTCCCGAGCTGCACTCCTCGGCCAAAATCACAAAAACAAAAGTCCACTTGAAATGACTTTTGGAAATCCTCCTGGCAGCGCTGGAGCAGCGGGAGAAGGAGACGCGCGAAGCCTTGAGCTGCTTCTTTTGGGTTCTCCTCTAAGAGGAGTAAACGAGGAGGAGGGGAGGAGCTGGGTCTCCCAGGTTTCAGCAACATAAAAGACAGAACGACTGAGAGAGAAGAAAAAGATATGTGGAAGGCAGATACCACTCCTGTGATTAAAACAGAAAAGAGAAATCCCACTTTTGACTCGGTGGCCGAAAAAACTGTAGAGAAGGGGAGAAAAGATCAGATGCGCCTTATTTTCCCTTCTGGAAATAAAATACCTACTCGTTTCCCCTCAGACACTTCACCACCTGGCCAAGGACGGATAGATAAGATACATAATATCTGCCATTTCTTGCGGAGGCTTTTATCCAAAGTGCCTTGAGAGACTACAAGAGAGTGCAGAGCAGCCGGGGGGGGGGGGGGGGGGGGGGGGGCTGTGGGCAAAGAAATTAAAGAAATATCCTTCCTCCGTGCGTGTTGATATTCAAACCGGCACGTATTTCCAGATTCCAGATAGTTTGCTGTACTAGATAAAGAAGAAATGACTGTGTTGTTGGAGATAAGACACCAACAGAAATGAATGGGACAGGCAGCCGGCTGCTTCATTCCCCACGTGAAGGGCGCTGTTCCTTCAGCACCACGAGACGCGCACTCACTCACTCACACACACACACACACACTTAAAGTGTGTTAAACAATATAAGAGTTGAAAATGCAACTACATTAAAATAAGAAAATCTAAAGATCTCTCTCTCACTCGGGGTGTGTGAGTGAGTGAGTTTTAAGCCATATTCTTGTTTTCCTCCTCTTTTATTTCACTTTTTTTATTGACCAGAGCAAATGACAATTTGAGAAGGGGTTAAGAGAGAGAAGGGTCGGCAAAGAATAAGAATAAGACAGGAGATAAGTAACAGACAGAGAGAGAGAGTAAGAGAATATGCAAGTGTTGCTGTTGGTCTTTATTTATTTATTGGTGGGTCAGGATGTTGAAAAGTGCCGCTTTGTTGCCCCCTTTTGGTAGCAGAGAGAAATTGTCAGAGGAGAAGAAGGGAGGAAGGGGATCACTGAAAGAACCCTTTAAAAAAGCAATAGGGGTAAATCAATGTTAAAAGCTGTGAATAAACAATTTAATAAAATGAAATTACATTGGTACCTCTTATCTGCTAAATGTGATATAACAATGAACCATGTATCTGATGTCTGTCAACAATTCAGATAGAGAGACAGAGAGACAGACAGATAGACAGATAAGGTGGTAATGTAAAGAACAACATTAGTTTTATTGAAAAGTAATTGAATGAACAGATGAAACAGATACATGTAAATTAAAATGGATTAAGTGGCTCATGTAGACAACAAGATGTATGTTTCAGATCTTCAAAATGTACATGGAGATGTGTAAAAAGACCACACACTGAGTTGATTAGAGAATTATTTATGGGATTAAGCCCTTCAGATCTTTTTTCCCCAGGAGGGTCAAATCACACTCTCTTGAAAAATAAAAATGGAGTTGCATTGGGTTTTGCCCGGGTGGATTTATTCATACTCTCAAACAAAGTCTCTCACAATCAAACTTTTTTTTTTTTTACATGGTATACATTTAGTTACATAGTTTGTCCAGAATGACTTTCAGGCCAGCTTAATATGTCAGTGCCTTTGAAAACAGTTCAAAATGAGTCATAAAAATGACCTGACATTGCTAGGGTTAAGGTTTGACACAAACTTGGTAAGGGTTGTGGAAAGATGGTTTGCTAGGAAGACCTTTCACCGTGAAAATAATTAAAAAGGGAACGATCGGGGTCATGGTTTAAACTTGAAAGAAACCAACACTGACTGCAGGTAGGAAACGGTGTCAAATTCTGATGATTGGTTGATCCATCCATCCACTTGAACTAAACTCGTGTTGTTTTAAGGCATTTAACAAAATCATCCTTAATCACTAGTGGCTTGGTTACCGCACGATGCAATAGACCAACTCAGAATTTGAACGGTCAGACATTTTCATGGACAACTCAGGAAGGAAGGAAGGGACTTCCTCATTAACCTTTGTGCAGAGGGGCACCACTCACAGATGGTCAGCAGGAGCTGTCTTGAAGGTAAGATTACATGTCTGACAAACAGGTAAGACATTCAAAAAACATGAGGCTACATATAAATAACCCTCCATCCAGCCCCTCATTAAAAATGTGCATTTGAATAGTCTTGCAAACTGTACAGCTGTAGCTCAAGGAGGAAGTATAATGAGTATTCATTAGTGCCTGGGTCCAGCATACCATAAAATAAGTCATGCTGAAAAAGAATGAGATGCATGAAATGAATTATGCATACTGGAGACTGTACTGTATATTTCTGACACTAAAATGTACAAAAATTTCTAATCTATTTTTAAGAGTTGTACAGATAGTAAGTACTGTGAAATCATGCAAATTCAAATGTATTAATTATTATTAGATGTTAAGAAAGATTATTTAGTTGCCCAGTGAGGGGGTGTGTGCGGTGAGGGTGGTTATCTTGAACGAAAGCATGTGTGGAGAGGCTGTTGGAATATTTGGAATATCACTGACCGTCTCAAAATGGAAAGCTTTGGAACAGATGGTTAACTAGATGTGTAGGGTCACTGGCAATCCTTCCTGCCCTTTTCCTCACCCTGGTGTCATGCCGTTTCTAGATGGAGGGCAGCAGACAGCGAAGGAGCCACTCACCAGTGCGGAAAATATGCTGGACCTTGTCCCTACAAGCGGAGACAGTCTATCTAAGAGCATTTGTGACGTCTAAAATTGGACACATAGAAGTGGTCATGGTTGTTTCAAGAAAAACAACCATAGTTTTACCTGAAAGTAAAAATTCATACCAAAATGAAAATTCTGTCATTACCTATTCACATGTCATCTGAAACTTCTTCACAAAGCAAATGACCCTGGGTTGATTTGAGGTCCTGCTGCCAGAGTATTTTTATGCCAATCAACCGCAATCTGTGTCCAAAAAGCCTAAATTCAGTTAAACAGTAACAGAGTAAAGTAGACCTCCTGGTCACAAGTCACAAAATGTTTCCAATAATAGAAATGATAAGGGAAATAATGGAAGAAAATACAAAATGAACTGCTGCAGGTGACAATGAAGTGATTGTGCTATAAAGACCTTTCTTAAAATCAGGGTTTCATACAGAATTTTTTAATGCCGGTTATTTTAAGACTTTGTGAGGTACATACTGTTGTTTGAGTAAAATCATTAAAATTCTATTAAAATATACTTCTAGTTTTATGTTGCGCAAGCTAGTTGTAGAATACACATCTACATCTATGCTAGTGGCTCTACAGGATTGTATCTGGGTGCAGTGGTTGAGGTAAATGCTTGCATAAGAATGCATGCATGTTTAGCAGGTATACAATTTAACATGTTCACTATATTAGTTTAGTGTGTTAGCTTGCTAACATTTGCTAATTAGCTCTCAATGCTAAGACAGCTGACGTGGGATTAAAAGAATGCTATTATAGTTTTGCAGGTATTTTGTCATAAACCAAAGAATTGGGCAAAGTGACATTTTGACCTAAAACGTGCTAGAAGTCTGGGGATCGCCATGACCAACACAATCACCAGCAATTCATCCTGAGGGGGACATGAACGTTTGTACCAAATGTCATGGCAATGCATCCAGTAGTTGCCAAGATATTTCACTGAAAATCATGCATGCCAGTCTCATGGTGGTGCTAAATAAAAGTCAGGGGATCACCAAAGTCAATAGGACTGATTTAAACTAGGAGCAACTTTGAAACATCCAGGCCCCATTGACTTCATCTGGATGAGAGTGAGCTTAATGTACTGTAGGAAACACATTATGCATTGGGTGGTAGAACGAAGTTTTAGACAAGGAGGTGAGTAGATGAAGACAGAGTTTTCACTTTGAGGTAAAACAGTCTCACTGGGATATGTTCTCATCCCATTTAAAGTTGTTGGTGAAGGTTTTCCTCTGGAATTGGAATCACTCAATTGGCTTGACAACTGAGCTGGGGGAAGATGAGCAGACCTGTGGCTTCACACAGACATCAGGCCTGGGTTTTGAGTACTCTGCAGTTGGGCTCGCTGGTGGGTACCTGAGAGACTCCCATTCTGTAGTGATGATGGAGTCATTGCACTCTCTGTGTCTTGGGTATACTTTTGAACGGAAGTTTCAATGTGTCTGTCTGCCTGCAGCATTAGTATGTTGGAAGTATGTCATGAAGGGCATTAGAGAACTGAGGGAATCAACCTTTAATGGTGGTGTCAAAGAAGCTCCTCTGTATTTTGTATTTTCTCCTGTGTTAGGAGGGGAATTCATTCCTCCTGTTGCCGTGAATGGAGACTGCAGAGTCTGGGGTGTTTGGTTTTAATTTTTATTATCTGTCCTGATAGTAGGCATGGCATGCCATTTGTTGTTGCCTGAGGGGGGGATGTACACAGCACCAACGATGATTGAAGCAAACTCCCAGAGTGAGCTAAATGGCTTGCAGAGAAAAGGCAACGTTTTCAGCATGAGTGAACAGAGTTGTGATTCAACAGGCACGACTAAGCACCACTTGTTTTTGATATTAAAACACACTTCCCCCGTCCCTTTTGTTTTGCTGCTGATCTGTGTATCACAGTCCGCCTGAATCAGAGTATACTCATGCAGCTCCACTGTGCCACCAGATTTGAGCAAGAACCAATTTTCCTGGAAATAAACTGCTGTGAAGTTATTGTTAGTCCTGGTCAGCAGTTGTAATTTATTCATTTTGTTGCTTTGGGTGTGAACACTGGAGAGCGTACTCAAGGAAGGGCAGCATGGAAACTTTTGCATCCTCCAGCAGTGATGTGCACCAGTATGTTTTCTCCTTCTCAAGGCTCTAATTATACGGGTCTGGGCGAAGGAATCCACATCTCATTAGCAGCTGTTGGTTAAAATGTCCAAGGGAGAGCTCAGAAGTGTGGATAAAAGCCAGCAGGCAGAGTGTCAACTATTCAGAGGCAGATCCACATGCAGGAGAAAACACATTATCCACAAGAAACAAATCTAAACAAAACTGCTCAGTGCCGAACAGAAGATAGCATGGTCAGTTAATGGACGGATGAGATTTGATTTAAGATTCTTTTGAGAAAACCTTGGATTAATTGTGTTTCTCAGCTAAGTTTAGTGAAAAGCCAGCATTCTGGCCAATTTTTAAATGAGGTTCATGTGTGTGCTGATTAGTGTTTCTCGCTGCCAATCAGCATATCAATACCCTGGTGGCTACTAGAAA